TTTAAAAATTTTTTTAAATCATGTGCATATGTGTGTATCCATGAGTAGGTTTGTGCAATGCTGGAGTTACAGGTCAAGCCTCCTGATTTAGTTGCTAGGAATTGAACTCGGGTCCTCTGGAAAAGCAGCATGTAATCTTAACCACTGAGCCATCTTTCTAGCCGGATTGTGTACTTATGACAAACTCCCCCACTAGGTCCTCAGTTAATTCAGGTACAAGGTATAGATTTAACTTTAAAATAGAAAAACCTTGTGGCGCATGCCTTTAGTCCCAGCACTCGGGAGGCAGAAACAGGCAGATCTCTGTGAGTTCAAGGCCAGCCTGGTCTACATAGTGAGTTCCAGGACAGCTGGGGCTACAGGGAGACCCTGTCTCAAAAAGAAAAAAAAAGAAAAGAAAAGAAAAACCTGGTCAACTCCCATAAGTCCAATGATCAAGCTCCTATCACCATTAATGGGGCACAGAGATAGCAAAGATCTCCACACCAGATACCTGAGAAGAACCCAGTGTTAGCACTGTGGTGCTCCTATTCACTCAGCTCAGGCTGGGTCTAGTCATGAGCAGATACCCCAAAACCCAAGGGAGTGGCTATGCCCACCAAGCTCACATACTCAGAGACATAAAGGTCAGGAAACACAGGAAGAATAAAGGCCAAAAGGCACTATAGAGATGACAGCACACAGTGATGGGTCAGTCTGTGTCAGACTCCAGCTAGGGAACAGACATGAATGAGGTAGCTGGTGCTGAACATCAATCATGCTCTCAAGATGCCTGGTAGCATACTATCTTCCTGAGGTGGACAGATGCACTGTGCTCAATTAAGGAGAATGCCCTGGCTTTTAGGAAACACACTAAAAAACTAAATGGTCTAAGAAAGCCAGGAACATCTGTAATCCCACTACTCAGGAGGTTGAACCAAGAGAATCATGAGCTTGAAAGCAGCTTAGGCTACAAAGAAGGAGTGCCTGGAAAAAAGAAAAAAAAAACAAAAATAATACTGCACAGACAAATGAAAGGGGAGGATTAGAGAGACACAATTATCAATAATTTGGAAATCTGGGTTAAAAGGCTTGTGAAAGTTATGCCTGACAACTTTTCTGTAAATCTGACATTGCTTCAAAATGAAAAGCAAGCCAACAAAGCAGACTCAGGCAATCACTTAGCAGCTGAATTCTACCCTGGTGAAGATGGGAATTTATCCCACTTCCAAGCCCTTCTTCTAAGCTGCAGCACTGTTCCAGGATATCAGTCACCAGCCATGACCATCTCAGCAGACTCTCCTCTCAGATCCACCTCTATACTATGAGGGCAACTGCCCACATGATGAGTTTTAGATGGAGGCAATCTTATGTACACATACCAACAGACACAGGCCAGGCCCACATCAGAACTTGCCCGCAGCCTCTCAGAGCTGAAAGTGGGTTAATGAAGTCAAGGAGAGAGCAGAGAACTGACATGGCTCCTGCTGAAGCAGAAAGGGCTCCTAGGGAGAATGGGCCAAGAGGTCCTGTGCTAAGGACCCCACCAAAGGCTCAAGACAGGCAGTTGGGCCCTTGACTCACCCTCAAGCTGAGGCTGCAGTACACCTGCAACTCTGCAGTTACAGCATCAGGCTCAGCTAGTGTGGCCTTCACCCCAGGGCCTCCTCCTTGACCCAGAGATTCTCACTATTCTCTTTTGAACACAAGACACTCTCTGTCTACTCTACTCACCCCCTTGATAGGGTTCAGACCCATCTGTAGTGAAGGTTACTTCATGTAGAACATGAGCTCTATGCCATACCACCCCATGAAAAGCCTTGTTAATGAGGCCAACTTAACTCTCCTATTATCAGAGCAGGGGGAGTTGAGAATGAAGCCTAAGAAAAGTTGGGGAACCTTGGACAAAGAGTAATACCAATGCCTCCAAGGGCAATGTCACTAACCAGGCTACTCCCTGTAGAATGACCAGATCTTAATAATCAAGGCAGCCTTACCTGGGAGCTGGTGAGGGGCTGGTCCCCCCTGGACTGGAAGAAAATGGTGGGGGCACGCTGCCTTCAATGGGCAGGAACCATGACAGGTACCTGTCCACCAGGATGAAATAGGCACACTCTGAAGTACGAACATGGAGGGACATAGGCAGTGGCTGGAAAACCAAAACCATCATTAGTGCTCTGGGCACTAGCAATCCCGGGAACACCCCAGGCCTAGCCCTGGCCACTCACAGTGGAATCTATACAAGCCATATCATATCCCTTCTGTACCTTTTGAGAGATGAGGCTCAAAGCAAAGAAGAACATGTAATACTCAAATGGATCTGATGGCAGTGTCAAGGGGCAAATGCAGAGGTGGTAGGCCACCCTCTGAAGTATGCTGGTCACTCACACCCTCCCTACCCTTTGGCCACCAAAGGATACTAAGGGCCAAGTTCAGGCCAAGGCCTCCGGTGGGCGGAAACTGGACCTTGTTGTGGTACAGAGGACTGTCAGGGAGAACATGCTCCTGGATGGACGCCTTCACGGGGCCCTGCAAAGACAGGGAGGGAGGTTCATGGGCAGTTTACCTGTACAGTGACCCCCAGGTGTTACAGCCTTTTGGGGGAGGCTGCTGAGGTAGAGACAGCACAGAGATCCTGCTTATGGGTAGTGTCCTTTTTCTTGGCAGTGCTTGGGCAAAATAGGCTTGACTTAGAAATTTTCCTCTATTCCTCATAAAACCTCATACACACAAGGGTAAGAACTTGGTGTCTTTGTACCCTTTTGTTTCTCATACCCACTGAGTAAGTCACACTTCAATTTGCCTTGAAGTTTTGGAGACTCAGAAGAGCAGAGCAAGCAATCACATAGCCCTGCTGGCTGCTCAGGTAACAGCATGGCACATTCTCCAACAGCAGTTTGGAACAAGCTCTTTAAACATGTCACCACTAGAGCTTCTAATATGTGATGCCTCCAGGCCCCTGAACAGACACTGTAGCATTTTCTTCCCAATGTCACACCTCCGAGCCTCTGCCAACTCACTACCAAAGCTACCAGTCTCGGCCCTCTACCCCAAGTGCTACTCCGCACCATGGCTTACTTACAGGGAGGTAGGACACAGGAAAGTCAAATCTGTAGTCTTCAGCTTGAAGTTTATAAACCAACTTCATCATTGGGCCACTAAACATAAAATTAAAAAAAGGGGGGAAGGGTCATCATGAGAAAACACTTAGCCCCTCTTGGGTGGTAAATTTACCTACCTTGGGTCTAGAAATTCCATTGCAATGCTGTACTCCACAGGATTCACACGCCCCTGTAGACAGCGGAGGTTCCAGCCAACAAGGACACCATCCAAGCTGCCAAAGATGCTCTCGACCAGCCATGGGAAGACAACATGCAGCTCCTGAAACAGTGCAGTGAGGCAGCAGGAAAGCTCACAGAGGACCACTGCCCACTCCCATCTCAACTCCAGTCTGCACCACTCACTGCCCATCTGAGGTCACTCAGACAGATCTACAGGAGCCCTCGTGCAGAGATGAAGAGGATTCTTCCACAGTGTTAATGTAATATACCAAAAAGCACTGCTTTATATTTAAGCCAGTTAAGACAGCCTTTGACTAAGACTTTTTTAAAAAATATTTTATGTGTATGTGTGTATTGCCTGCATGTAGGTAAGTGCACCTGTGTTATGCAATGCCCATGGAGGACAGAAGAGACTCTTGGATCCCCCTAGAACTGAAGTTACAGACAGTTGTTAGCTACCATGTGGGTGCTGAGATTTTAACCCGGGTCTTCTGTAAGAACAGCCAGCTTAACCACTGAGCCATCTCTCCAGCCCTGACTAAAAGACTTTCTTAAGATTTACTTTTATTATTTTTAAAATTATCTGTGTATGTGCATGTCTGGGGCAGGGGGTTGGTAGATTGAGTGCAGGTGCCCACAGAGTCCAGAAAAGGGTTTTAGATCCCCTTGGGCTGGAGTTCTGGGTGGTTGTGACCTACCTAACCTGGGTGTTGGAAAATGAACTTGGGTCCTCTGCAAGAACATCACATAGTCTTAACTGTTAAGCCCTCCAACCCTTTTATTTTTGAAACAGGGTCTCAATTTGTAGCCCTGGCTGGCCTGGAACTCACTATGTAGACCAGGTTGCCTAAAACTAACAGAGATCTACCTGCCTTTGCCTCCCAAGTGTTGGGACTAAAGCCATGTGCTACTCTAGCTTTTTCATTTTGCTGCTTTTTTGAGAGCTTTATTATGTAGCTCAAAATGGGCTTGAACTCAGAGAAATACTCCTGCCCCAGACTCCCAACTTCTGGGATTACAGGTGTACACCATAACACCCAGACAATTAAAAGATTTTTTGTAAGGGGCTGGGAATGTAATTCAGTTGTAGAGCACACAGCATGTGATCCCTAGCATCACAAAACAACAACAACAACAACAACAACAATGAAAACTCTTCTGGGCAAAGTCTGTAAAGTACTTGCCACACAATAATGAAGACCTGAGTTTGAGCCCCAGCACCAACATAAAAAGCAAGGAGTGGTGATCTCAGTGTTGAAAAGGCAAGAAGATGGGACTGAAGAGATGGCTCAGTGGTTAAGAACACTGGTTGTTCCTACAGAAGACCTGGGTTCAAATCCCAGCACCCACATGGCAGCTAACAACTGTCCATAACT